TATATTAATAGATGTACATTTTTACATTTTTTGTAACTTTTATACAAAACAAAATTTATGAATCTGAAAACATTAACAACGTCTTAGCTTCATTTAATAGTTCAGTATCTTTGTTCTTCGGTTGCTTCCTTAAACTAGCAATGTAAGGATCTAAAGAAATCATCAAGTAATGTATTATATCTTCGTTTGTTTTTTCTGGATCACATTTTCTTGTATTATTTTCTCGGCATTTTCGGAAGTCTTTGTTCATTGCTTATTGAGCTTCCTCCGAAAAGAGTCCAATTGGAAGAATGAATGATTGTATAACATCAGCCCCATGTATAAGTATCATATGGCAGGAAGAAGGCATTAGATACCATTTGTACAGTTTTACATAAAGTCCGGCCAGATCAATACAAAATATCCTAAACTTCGCGGTATCAATATTTTCTTTTGAAGCTAAAACTTGTAACATAATATACAGTTTTTTCAAAATTCTAACATCTACTTTAATAATTTTAGCAATAATTTCGTAATATTGGAAAAACTTCCTGGCTGTGTTGAAATTGTTGGTGTTTCCACTTGCTTGTTTCACGCAATCAACTAATATACCAACCTTATCTCTTATTTCGTTTTGAATTCTGACCTTGTTTACAGCTACTTATTGATTCTCTTTATCTGTCAAGACTTGATTAAATTTTTTAACAGGTAGTTTGTATCCTACATGACACATCCATTCCATATTCCGTATCCATGCGTGTAATGTCGGAAGCCCCTACTGGTAGTCAGATACATTAATTTTTTTTTTCAAAACATTATTGAGATCATTCATTTCTCGAGGCGAAGCCTTACGCAACGAGCATCTGCTAGCTGCAGCCGTTTCAGTCCTGATTTGTCTTATTTTTCCATCCACCATTGTACATAGCAAAATATGTTCAACGCTGATGCTTAAGCCCTGAATGTTGATTTTTGTTGGTCGTAACTCATCTTTTTGTTTATTTAGACTATCTAATTCTGCATTTATAACATTGGCTAATTCTTTTGTATATTCAAATTGTATAGTGCGGCAGTGCTGAGTTGATGATGGTTTTTTGTTTTCCCACACTTTTACTGTATCACCGTCTGCATAGGCTTCAAGACAAATGGGCACCAAGCAAGACAAAAAAATACTGTTACAATGCAATACTGATGCACCAGTAAATGATTGTTTAATTATTAGACTTAGAGCAATACAAGCAATTCAAGTGCTCGCATGGCTCGGATTGCTTTAGGCTTCATAAGTGAACGAATTTAAGGTGTTGTACCACCACAGGATATGCTAACACTTAACAAACGTGTGGTACACCAGGGATCTCGGTGTTGTTGATTAAGAATAACGTATGTTTCGTAGTACATACACAGATTGACAATTTTCAAAACTGTTGGCTACACACAATGACTTCTCGTTAACACCAACAAAGATTTCGTTGGGATACGTATATTCACAAATAACTTTTACGTACAAATTGACATATTTGTAAGCAGCACATAAGAATCAGCATAGATTAGCATATTCACATGTACATGTTTTATCCACATGTAATAGATTCAATTGTCATTCTAAAATTAATGTCTATGTTATAGTTGCAATGCAGATAAAGAATTCACGTAAATATTCAATTAAAAAACCACGTGGATATCCACGTAAATATTCAAGTGGGATCTATGTCAATCAACGTCGATATTTTATGGATATCTACGTGGATCTCCACGTGGATTACCATCTACATACTAGCAAGTGGGTTGTTAAGTAACTGTGTCCGAAAAACTCTTAAAAAAAAAATTTACATAATTTTCATCATAGATACGGTAATTTAATGAGCAAATACGAAAGAAGATAATTATTTTGAGGTTATACAGAAGATGACTAAGAACTCAGGTTATAAATAAGACAGAAACCTGACTGCATTACTATTAGTTATATCTTTTTAGGCAATTCATACGTTGTTAGTACCATCAAAGTGTACAAAATGTCGGCTTTTATAAGAATTTTTTCATATATTGCAAAAAGTTCATCCACCATATTTGATCAGCCATATTGAATTTAATGGATTTGGTGAGAAATCATTGATCAACATCCTAAAAAACTCCTACTTATCATTTTGTATAGGTTTTGGTGATTATTGAGTGAACAATTTTTTTTTTCGGCCGCCATTTTGATTCCGCCATCTTGAAAATTGCGTTTCACGAAGAATATTTAACCAGTGACCTTGATGAACGATGTTATATGCGATATAACTAAGAAATAAGCTTTCAACTGGAAAATCGAGCCGAAGGAATCGATAGGAAATTTTCTGACGAATATTTAAATAAAAAGGCTTGATTCGATATAAATTGACTGCAGAAAGTGCGTTTGAATGAAAAACCTCACTTTTTCCCCACTGTGCGCCGGGGCAGCTGCTGCCGCGTACAAGGAAGCAAAAAAAGCGCTGGTGAGGGCGATAAAGGTGAGCAAGAACTGATGCTGGCACGAGCTCATCGCCGAGGTGGATAAGGACACGTGGGGCCTGGGCTACCGGATCGCGTTAAAAAGACTTCGCGGTTCAGACCCGACGCTGCCGATGGAACCTTCCTTCTTGGAGAGAGTGGTCTCTTGCCTATTTCCAGAGCATCCCGCTAGGAGGCGGGAGGACATAAGTGTAGGACAAGTACCTTTCTTTACTCTTGAGGAATTGAGCTCAGTGGCATCAAAGACGCTGGGGCATAAAGCCCCCGGCCTGGACGGGGTGCCGTCCGAAGTCCTCAAGATCATAGCTGTGAAGAAGCCATACGTTATGTCGGACATGTTCAATGCATGCCTGCGCGTTAGACTATTCAGCAGGGGTTGAAAGATCCAAAGGCTTGTTCTTCTGGACAAGGGAAAACTTTCCCCTGGTACTGTCGTCATTCCGACCCTTAGGTATGTTGAACAATGCTGGAAACATGCTAGAAAGGCTGATAAGAACCATAGAGATATTATAAATAGAGTAGGCAAGCAGCCCAGAAACACGTTGCCATGGTAAAAAGAGATGCAAGACCGAGATACCCGTCTGTCTCTCTTTTGGGCTTACGCTGATTGGCTGCTGCACAAACGTATATATAGATATACGGGAGATGCGCGTGGAGCCAGAGTAGGGGCTCGAACTCCAACGGACAAGGAGTAGAGGGAGTACTCCCCACCCAAGCTTAACCTAAACCTCTCCCCCCTGGGGCACAACTTAAATAAGCCATTAACACGAATGCTGAGAGTATTCTCGATAGCTAAGAGGACTAATCGTTTTGAGTGCGCGAAGATAGTGGCTTCGAATCTTCACTGATGTTTTTTTTTCTTTCTAATTACCGCCTTTAATAGTCGCATATAAATAA